TTGTAATTTTCTTCCCATAAATGTCTAAGATCAAAGAAGTAATCAAAATTATAATTGCAAAGTATTTAGAAATTATTATAAACAATAAATATTAGAAATTAAAAGCAGAGAAAAATATCTAGCCTTGCATATCTATATAACTAGCAGGAAAGAATAAAAACAAAAGAATTTATGTACTCAAGACCAAAAGTTAGAAAATAATAACAAAATAAACCTAAGAAAAGGAAGAAAATAATAAAGATAAAAGCAAAATTAATTAATTAGGAAACAAAGTGGGTAAATAGATTGAAAATAAGTAACTAAGAGTGAAGTAGTAACTATAAGTAACTTGCTAATGAACCTAGTCACCAAAAGGAAAAAACACAATATTAAAATTTGAAAATGAAAAATAACCAAAAACAGGGAGGAACCTAAAACTACCCAAAGAAAGTATGTTGCACACTACAAATAAATTGGAAATTTTTCCTGATATTGAGGATTGTATAGAAAAACAGAATTCCCAGGATTGACTCCAGTCACAGAATGTAGCACATATTTACACATTCGCTTCCTAGAAGCATTCACAAGAAATTGATACCAATTACTTCTTTGGGAAAGAAACTTGCAGAGGAAGGAGAGAAGTTCCTTTTTCGTTTCATTCCTTTCTGAACTGTCTGTATGTCCATATTTGATTTTTTAAAAAATATGGGCTTATTGGGAAATTAGATTATACATTTATTTGTAGTAAGACAAATGGAGAAAAACAAAGAATAGTAGCTCACGCCGGTAATTCCAGCACTTTGAGAGGTCAACGCGGGCAGATCACAAGGTCAGGAGATCGAGACCATCCTGGCTAACACAGTGAAACTCCGTCTCTACGAAAAATACAAAAAAAAAACTTAGCCCAGTGTGGTGGCGGGTGCCTGTAGTCCCAGCTACTCGGGAGGCTGAGGCAGGAGAATCACTTGAATCGAGGACGCGGAGGTTGCCATGAGCTGAGATCGCGCCACTGCACTCCAGCCTGGGCAACAGAGTGAGACTCTGTCTCAAAAAAATAAGAAATAAATAAAAAATAAATAAAGAATAAAAGGCACAATCATGAGTAGAACACAAAGGCTGATGATCAAGCAGTCCAGCCAGAGTGATGATGGGTGGAGGCTGGAAGAAACACACCCAGAGACCTTGTGCTGGGCAACATCTGTTTCTACACCTGCCTGGCTACCCCATGGACTATCACTCAGAGTTCCAAAGTATACCATGTTGGTATATGTATTTGTTTTTCAATATTTACTTAGATTTACTTTGGAAAAATATCCAGTATATCCAGCTATTTAACAAAATTGAGGATTAAAACTATTTGATTTGGTGCTATTTTTGGACATGCATATTACACCAACAGAATAGCTGCTGATGCAAACCTGTTTGTTCCCTCTAGACAAGGAGATTAGAAAGGGTAGGTAGGTTCCTCCTTAAGAAAGAAGCAAGTAAGTTGAAATACAATTTGTTTTGTTTCTTGTATTTGAAAACGCAGTTTAAACAAGCCAAATAGATACCATACGGCCTTCAGTAATTTGACATTGAAGAACAATGCATGATTTGTATTCTATTTCCAGCTACTGCACAGTGAGTGCGCTATGACACCATGTTTTTAAATTCCTCTCTGCCTTTGCCCTTGTTGTCTCTTAGAGGAATTACATTTATTTATTCACTTATTCATTTCTTCTCTTTTTTTAACCAGTGAACTCCAAAACAGACTGAAACTAAAAATAAATAAATAAATAAGTTCAAACTAAAATTTCTCCTTTTTAGTGACCTCACTGAATCTGTGTCATTATCTGGGGTAAATGCCCAAGGTTTGCCTCTCCCCCAAGAAGATTAAGGGGACACACAGGGAGAGGGAGTTTAGGAGTGGAGGTTTACTAGCTAAAAGAAAGAGAAAGGAGAATAGCTCTCTCTCTTGTGAGACAGAGGGGCTCCTGAAAGGGAAAAGCCAGCCTGTGGCATACTGCACTAAATTTTATAGGCAGGCTTGAGGAGGCAGTGTCTGATTTACTAGGACCCACAGATTGGTTGGACCAGGTGTGATGTTTACATAGCGCACAGGGAAGGCTGGCCAGCCCACCCTAATCTTATTATGCAAATCAGCTTTTCATTTGGCTGGGGCCATCTTGTCTGCTCCTTGCTATACGCATAGCTGGCAAAAGAAGGGAACATGGAGTCACCATTTTGAACATGCCTAGTCCCAGGTAGACTTTTCCTCTTGGCACAACTACTAGCATTCACTTGTGCAAGTTTCCAGCTTGCTTGTCTATGTCTGCAGCTCGATTTTACAGGCTGCTCTTTGTTAGAAAAGTAAATGATTTGGGGGCTGGTTTTCATTAAAAGGAAAACTTTACCAAGGATTTCCATACCCTCACTATGTGCCTAAATAATTTTTTCTTAACTCCTATATCATCACCACCTGTGTGGGTTAATATTGTTTTGTTCATACCTCTAAGTATAGCACTATTTTGTATTGTGATAGTATATATAGCCCTGACTCCTCTACTAAACCCCAAGCTTCACAAGGTCAGGGCCATGTTTCATTGTTTTGGGAATCTGTAACACCTAGCATGTTCTAGATTAGTTTTAAATGTTAAGAGAATTGCATTAAAAATTAAATATTTAAATATTTTTAGATCAAAGCATCAAGGTTAATATCTTTGTAAGGGTTCTATTATGAGTGGTAATTAGATTTTCCCATTAAGTTTGAAGAACGCCAGTTTCACAATGGAGACTACTAACCACTATACGATCACAGCTGAAGGAAGCCAGTTTCAAATACCACAGTCATCCCTCATTTTATCTACAACATGGATATATATAACCACATTTGGGTTTCCAATAAGTAATGAGAGACACAGAAGCATTTAATGTTGCCAAAAAAAAGAATCGTACCATGGCCGTGCTGATCTGTTTGTCTGTCATGATAACTAGTGCGGCTTTCTTTGATAACCAGTAGGAATAAGGAATTCCCTACAAGTACATAGTACTTAAACTAATATTTGAATAACCTACTTCAACATGAATTTTCAGTCCTCTTGGATGGCTAACAAGATGATCCCCTCCTCCCCAAAATTGCATCATATATTTGTTCATTTATCTTTTCAATCAATAGTCATTTATCAGGTGCATGTCAATTTAGGAGACACTAAGCTAGAGACACTTACACAGCATAGACGAGTGTTTTAAAAAGTGAAAATACTTTATACATTCATCACTTCCTCACTGCACTGCTTTGACCCCACACAAGAAAGGTGTAACAGTTTCTCTTGGGTTTTGCTCATAGCTTCCCCAACAGATAAGAATGTTTTATTTCATTTAATTTCATTTTAAATTTATTACTTCATGAAAGTGAGATAAAATTTGCCTCATTATCGTAAGAAATATGGAAATGAATACTGGACATTTTCTAAGAACATGCATAGTGCAGTGGACTCACAGCTTCCACTCTGTGTTTCTCAGTGATGGAGGAGTTAATGAGGTCCGTCCATCAGTGCCTGCCATGGGGAGGGTGAGGGGCAGGGTTCAGGCCTCACATTTATAGCAGGCCTCATCCTGTTCCAGATGTAATCTCCACATGCCACATGCAGCCACAGCGAGAAGTTGCAGGGTTGAAAGATAATACCACTTGAATCCTTGAAAATAAACACTAAAAATATATCCAAATGTTTGACCCAGTTTGGTCATTTTTTCATTCTATTTTCTTCATTTTGGTCTCTTCTTAATTTTGTTTAATGCTCTCACTAAATTATTTGCATCATGATCCTGGCTCAGTGTTCTTATTTTCTCATTTTTCTCAGTTCCTGATTCAAGTGCCTTGTTTCCTAAAACCTTAAATGTCAAAGATCCCTGGAGGGACAGGTGGGGCTGAGGGGAGAAAGACAATATATAGAACTCTCAAATATGTCTTTCAAAAGAGTGTCATAAAAAACTTTTAAGACAGTATTTATTTACTTCCAATTTATGCACCTCAAATCAAAGAAAACACAGTAGGGTGTCTCTTCCCTCAATGTGATTGTCTCCCTCTCCTTCCAAATGGCATTAATTTAAAATGAAAAAATAGGATAGAATTCTGTGTTCTTCCTTCTTCCCAACTTGGTACCATAATTCGCATGCTCCTCCTGCCCACCAAATTCATACCTTTTGTCAGTCTTACTGGCGTAATTACAAGGAGAAAATTTCATTTAATTGTATTCATTTTATTTTAGAAAGGAGACTGAAACTTTGGAGGATATAAAAATATTTACAAAGCTATGAAGTATGTGCTTAAGTAAACTAATTTCACCAGTTCTCTTTATATTTTTTAAAATTTGAAAATAGTGAAAAAAATATAAAAATAAAAATGTGCTATATTCTCACATTAAAAAAAAAAGTCCTATGAAGGGGAGAACTCAAAAATCTGTTCTCTAATACTCTGCCCTTGAGGTCACCACTGTTCAGAGCTTGATATTTGTTCTTCCCATGTTTTTCTTAGACTTATTGTGAAATGTGTATGTGCTTATCTTATAAAAATAATATTGAGCACAGGGCTCATCCTTCCTTGTCTGGTACCTGGGGAGATTTGGGCAGGTGGAGAGACTGGTGCATGAGAAGGACCTGATAAGGAAGTGTTGGGCTCTGAATTGGTTGGTTTGCATTTGAAAGGTTTGCTAGCAGGAGAGTTGTTGACTTACTATCTCTAGAAATTAGTGAACCCTGTGAGGCAGGAGCAAGGCCCTGGATGTCAAGCCTTCAGAATACAGAAAATCAAAAGACACAAGGTTAGTATACCCTCATACCTGCTTTTTTAATTTAAAGAAACCTGGAGAATTTGCTTAAGTGTTTCAAGCTAACAAACATTTTATTCGTGTGGCATAAATAATATACGAACAGACTTTTATGAGTAATATAACATCTGCAGCTCTTAGAAAATAAAACATAAGTTAATTAGAGAAGGCATGAATTATGTAATCATTACTTTTATGTTTTGTTCTTTCTAGGTCATTCAAACTGTCATCCACACATGAATAACAATGAAATTCTCATAAAGAAGCAGAAATACCCAGGAGGCATGAAGAGTCATCATGCTTCAAAAGTGCATGTATTAGGACTTCATGACCTCAGGAAAAGTAGACCTCATAACTCTTAAAAGCTCAACCTTGGAAAGGAGAAATATGCTGTTTGATGACAGCACTGAAACTTGTTGAAATATCCTTGGCGCTTGAGATGTTGAGAGCCATCAAAATGTTCTTAACAATTACATTGAAAAATGTTTCTTCAAAATGTCTTAACCAACCAAATACAAACATTTTTGTCATTGTGGAAAAAAAACCCAAAAACTCGCCAATTGCCTTTGCTAGTCTCAGCACAGCCCAAGAGGAGCATCCTTCATGAGCCAACCGAAAAACAGTCTATGCTTCTGACCAGATGGGCTTCTCTTGTCACCATAACATTATGTATTAGGACTTCATGTATTATGTATTATGTCAACACTTTATTCATTATGCTGATCATACTCTGTATTTCACTTGCTCTGGTTATTTGTAAAGCTTTTCCTATTTCATCATTAGATTATCCTTAAATTGTAGCAACTGCATTTTAGTCACTCTGTATTCTAAATAGTGCCTGCCCAAGTGACATATTAATAAGCATTTTTTTCTGAATCAATAACCACCCCCCCAAAAAATCTGCAGCCATAGTTGTAAATACTGTACATTCCAAAGAGAAGTGGAAATGAATGAAGGACCAATTTTGAGGAAGAATTAGAGTTCTCAAAAATTTAACAAGTATAATCAGGAAGTTTTTTAAAATTTAACAAATTCAACAAGTATGTCAACAAGTATTCAACAAGTTAGAGTTATAAACATTTGTTCAAAACTTTACACATGGTTAATACCTTCAGAGCAGTGAGTCAGCAGCAAGACTCTCATTTTTAAACCTTACCCCTTTGTTCATTTTAAGGGTGGAGACCATTATGGATGGAGACCATGTTGATGTCAGAACAATTGGTCCAGGGGTGTGTGAGGAGCCACTAGAAAGGGAGAAACAGGGAAATGTGGACCCAAGCAGCATAGTGTTCCCCAGAAAGTTGGGTTGGACACAAGTGTGTACATGCAGGAAAAAGTAAAACCACAAAGGTGTGTTAATCTGAACAATGCTGTGAGCAAATGAGACACAGTTCTCCAGGGGACACTCTGAGAAACTACACAGAATACACTTCAGAATTGTCCACCAGAAGGACAAATGAGAGGAAGGATGATCCATTGGCTCTCTTCTACCATTGGTCATGTTGGCCCAGAAGGTGTTCACAATCTTGGACTTCAAAGATTGCACCTGCTTCAGAATGGCTGAGTAGTTTGCAGAAGGCATCTTAACAGATGGTAACAGAGAAGCAAGAGATAAGTGCTGCAACTGATGCAAGGTGCTGGCGGTGACACTATCACAAAGCTGGTTGCTGTAAAAATGTGGCCAAGAGGATGTGAGCTACAACACAAGAGTGGTTCAACATCAACTCTCAGAAGCACATGAGTCTCATGCAAATCTGTTGTTCTTGAAATAATGAGCAAAGGACCATATTCATCCCTTTTGGGCAATAGTCAGAGAAAGGGGCACCCATAGAGAGAAAATATCTGGTAATACTAGTTAGGGAGTGGAAGAAGCCAGTTGATATAGTTTGGCTGTGTTCCCACGCAGATTCTCATTTTGAATTGTAATCTGAATTGTAATTCCCATGTGTTAGAACTGGAAACTGGTGGGAGGTAACTTATTCATGGGGGTGGTTACCCTCATGCTGTTCTTATGATAGTGAGTTCTCACGAGATCTGATGGTTTTATAACAGACTTTTCCCCATTTTGCGTGGCACTTCTCCTTGATGCTGGCATGTGAAGAAGGATATGTTTGCTTCCCCTTCTGTCATGATCGTAAGTTTCCTGAGGCCTACCCAGCCATGCTGAACTGTGAGACAACTAAACCTCTTTACTTTATAAATTACTCAGTCTCGGGTATGTCCTCATAGCAGAGTGAGAACAGACTAATGTACCAGGGTACAGAAGAAGCCTAAGACTAAACTGCACCTCTCTGTGCTTTAAACACAGACCAACACCTGGATGAGTGTTTTTCTTTTTCTTCTGTGCACATTTTTTGTATTTGGCTGCTTTTTAACTTGCCAGCTCTGACAGAACAATGCCATCTCCGAGACACTTTTTATCTACACATAAATTAAGTTGCTTTATTGCTTTAGCTTCTCTGAGTTTTGTGCATTTTAGGGAGAGCTCTCAGCGTTTCCTGCTTACAGTCTTACTTTAGGCTCCTTCAAAAGCCAATCCTGAGAAAAGGATGTAGATACATGTATTTTATTTTATTTTTTAAGAGATAGGAGTCTTGCTATGTTGCCCAGGCTGGACTAGAACTCCTGGGTTCAAGTGATCCTCTCACCTCAACCTCCTGTGTAGCTGGGACTACAGATGCTTGTCACAATGCCCCAGATAGTTTGAGAGGTGATCCCAGGAAGTGCAACAAGGGAGTGAGGAGTGAAGTAGAAAAGGGAAGACAGCCAATGAAAGGTGTGCACAAGGGAGCAGGTTACTGCTATCTCAAGCTTTCTGGGAGTGTGGCCCAAAGAGGGATAGGGAAGCTGGACTGTTTTTGCACCAGTTCCAGTTTCTCACTGGTTGAAAATTGCTGCTGGGGAAATTAAACCCATTACACTTCTAGGCTGCCCTGCATACAGGCAGAGCAAACTCCTCTACTGTCAGGAAAGCCCCACAGGCAGAGAGGCATAGATGGTTGAGGTAGAAAGACACGGATGTGTCGCGCAACTGCAATGAATCCACACATTTGGCTGAGGGGTATAGATTGGGGCATCAGTTGCTTCTATGATACACTCTGAGATTATTTTGCAAAGGACAAAAATCCTCAAGCACGGAGAAAAACAATAGCAACAGCCTTCTTCTGGCATCTAGAAGGAAAGAAGATAAGTTAATTAGTAAAAGGTTAGAGGCAGTTAAAATGAACTCTGAAACTGAGACTATTTGTTAAACTTTGCAGACTGAATCTTTAAACTGGAATTGGATCCCTTTAATGAAAATCCCCTTTGCTGTTGCTGAAGAACAAATGAGGAACGAAAAGAAACCAACATGTTTATTGCTTTCACCTATAAACCAAGAACCTCACTGAACTATGTTAAATAACAACAGTTTGGCTCTGTTTCTGTGAAGACCACATGGGGAATGATGGTTATTTTTAAATTTTCACTTACTAGTCATTGTTCTGATTCATTACTAAGACAGAGCCACTCAAAGATGAGTGTTTTCTGATAGAAAAGCTGGATGACAAAATATGAAAATGGGTCTTAAACGCAGTGGATTTCACCAGGGTTGGAAGCATGGGCAAAGCAGAGAGAAACTAGAAAGGAAATACTCTCAGTGGTATCATAGATTTTTAAAAATTCACCCCAATTCTTCATTTCCTCTCAATTAAGTTATAAATGCATACCTCTGTCTAGTGTACTGAGTGAACTGCCCCACCCGTTGATTCTAGATTTGGCCATCTAACTTACTTTGGAAAAGAAGTTGTTAGCAGCCATAGCATAACCTGTATGTTGGCTTATCTTCTTGGCAATCGTGATCATCCATGAAACAAACATGTCCCATGGGCTGCTATGTCTTCTCCTTTAGCCTAGGCCCTGGAAAGAAACGTGGAGTGAACTTGAACCCATCATAGCCAAGAGCTTCAGTCTTGGAACATAAATATGGAAATAGAGCTGCCCAATCAAGCATATTCTAAATGAGTCAATAGCAGTCAACTCGAGAACCCAAGCATGAGAGCAGATGCTTACTATTGTAACCACTAAATGTGTGGGTGAATCTATAACGTAGCATTATAGCAGCAATAGTTGACTGATATAAGTGGTAGATTATTTTTCTTTTCTTGCCTGTAGTTAGGGTGATAATTATAATAGGGGAATAAAGACTCTTGCTAAGACCAAGGGTTTGCTGAGGAAACTAAAAAACATGAAATGATTAGCAAAGAGCCAATGGGAAGGGCTCCCTGGAGGGAATCTGTAGAGGATTCTGGGTCAAGTGACTGCTGTCCTAGTGACAAAATTCTGCCTCCTCACCAGTGATTGTGTATGATCTGAGTAGATGAAGACAATGGGGCTCTCCAAAATAATGTTCATCAGTATTATTATTATTTTGAGACAGAGTCTCACTCTGTCTCCCAGGCTGGAGTGCAGTGGCATGATCTTGGCTCACTGTAACCTCTGCCACCCGGGTTCAAGCAATTTTTGTGCTTCAGCCTCCCAAGGAGCTGGAACTACAGGTGCCTGCCACCATGACTGGCTAACTTTTTTGTATTTTTAGTAGAGATGGGGTTTTGCCATGTTAGCCAGGCTGGTCTCAAACTCCTGACCTCAGGTGATCCGCCGGCCTTGACCCCTCAAAGTGCTGGGATTACAGGCATGAGCCACCATGCCCAGCTTAGAAAATCAACATTATTGAAGAACTTGAGATGAAAATCAAAGATCTAGTCTTTGCATCCCTATATTCCCTAATTTGACAGCAAGCCTTACTGGTTTATGGGTAGGGATTTCTATAAAAATTTTAATGAATAAATAATCCCTTTGACATTTATAATCTATTCCAGAACACTAAAAAGATGAAAACCTTCCTAAATCATTACATGTGGCTTGACAAATGCTAATATTATGCCCAATAAAGAGAGCACCAGTAAAGAGAATAGACATTAAGCTCAATGCAAATAAAAATAATGAATAAAATATTTTCAAATTTACTGTAACAACATCTTAAAGTATTAACAATGCATGACGATCAAGGAAGGTTTACTGTAGGAATGCAAGAATGTTGTAGTAATAGGAAATGCATGCATGCTTAAAGCACTGGATTAACAGAATAAATGAGCAGAACATACACTATCTCAACAGTCGTTGGAAAAGTATTTGACAGACTATATTAGCCACCGCTGTCTAAAAAATTAAAAACTCTCAGGGAGCTGGGAAAAAGAGGACATTTCCTAAGTTTGACAGATTGCCTTCAAGAAAACTGTCAAACCCAGTGATAAAATGTTACTTATTCCCAACTCCCTGAGAGTTTTTAATTTTTTAGACAGCGGTGGCTAATATAGTCTGTCAAATACTTTTCCAACGACTGTAAGACACATGCACACGTATGTTTATTGCGGCACTATTCACAATAGCAAAGACTTGGAATCAACCCAAATGTCCATCAGTGACAGACTGGATTAAGAAAATGTGGCACATATACACCATGGAATACTATGCAGCCATAAAAAAGGATGAGTTGTGTCCTTTGTAGGGACATGGATGCAGCTGGAAACCATCATTCTTAGCAAACTATCGCAAGAACAGAAAACCAAACACCGCATGTTCTCACTCATAGGTGGGAACTGAACAATGAGATCACTTGGACTCGGGAAGGGGAACATCACACACCGGGGCCTATCGTGGGGAGGGGGGAGGGGGGAGGGATTGCATTGGGAGATATACCTGATGTAAATGACGAGTTGATGGGTGCTGACGAGTTGATGGGTGCAGCACACCAACATGGCACAAGTATACATATGTAACAAACCTGCACGTTATGCACATGTACCCTAGAACTCAAAGTATAATAATAATAATAATAATAATAATAATAATAAAAGAAATATTATTCAGTCTTAAAAAAGAAATAAAATCCTTCCATTTGCAACAGCAAAAAAAAAAAAAAATGTTACTTATTCTCATTAAAATCACAGGCAAGGCAATAATTCCACAAATCCCCATTATTCGAAATACTCCTGAGGGTCCTATAAAAAGAGACCAAAACATTGATAAATACTAGAAAAAAATAAATCCTTTCACATTAAAATTTAAAATAATGAAATAAAAACACATTAAAGAAATAGTTTTGCAAGATGTCTAGGAATAACAAAACATACAAAAACCATCATTTCAATATAGCAACAATGAGACATCAACAAAAAGATACCATTCAAAATACAACAAAAGCATAATATCTGTTTCCCCACAAAACCTTAAAGTTACTAAAAAGTCATATTTAAGGTCAGAAAAATAAACCTAAACATAAAAAAGTGAGTAACATGGCTTGAAATGGGAAGTCTCACATTTATAAGTTTTAAATTTTTTCTTAATCTACCTATTCAGCATTATCCCTATTAAAACTCTAAGGGTAATTTTAAATGAAGCTATTCCAGTTTCAAATGCTATCTTTAAGAGTAAATGCATAAGAACAGCCAGAAATATTATAATAAAGATAGCATTCATATGAGTAGAAAAGGAATAAATAAATGATATTTAAATATGTGGTACATACCATTATTATTCCATTTACACTTTACACAGTTGAGGAAACTGAAATACAGGGAAGTTAAATAGCCTGTCAAAGATCGCATAACTGCCAAGTGGTGAAACCAAGATGCAAACTCAGAGCCAATGCTCCTCACTTGCTTACCAGCATGCTATGCTGCCTCTGGCAAAAATATACATGTGTGTATACAAATATTGGACAAAAGATTGACATCCATCACATACAAAGTTCCCATCAATCAATATTAAAAACAAACAACTCAATAAAAATAAAAATGGGAATAGGGTCTATAAGCAATTTTCAAAAGAAAAAATGAATGGTGAGTAAATGTATGAAAAAATGTTCAAACTCACATTGGGGAAATGCAATTTAAAAATAACAACAAACATTTATAAAGTTTACAAAAATTATAAAAGAGTTCTGATATTCAATGTTCCATGAGGAAGTAGGAAAATAGCTTCCTACTCCACAATGTTGGAAATCAATTTGGCATTGCTAGTCAAATTAAAAATTAACTTTAACTTAGCCATTAGCCTACTAAAATACTCACATATGTGCAAAAATACCTGTAAAAATGATTGTTATTTTTAAAAGTGACCAATGGAAATAACCTTAATCAATAGAATGGAATAGTATGCAGTCACAAAATTAAATAAATATGGACATGAAAAAATGTCAATTTGAAGTTGTTTAAAAGCACATGGAAAAAAATTGCACATAATGTGATCCTCTTTTCTATTTCATATGCATGGATGTGTGCACATGTGTGTATCCACTTCTAAATGCATTGTAAAAGTTCTCTATAAATGCCAAAGTATTCATTATACTACTCTCAGTTATTTTC